GAGCAGCGCAGGCAGGCTTGACGTGCTGGTGACAGGCATCTTGGCATTTAGTAGGAAACCAGGTATCTGTCCAAGTTCCGTGGCAGCACCATGGGGAGGGAGGGGAAATAAAGAGGGAAAAAAAAAGGGAAAAAACCCAAAAAACAACCCAAAGCAGTGAAGCAGCAGTGCTGGGGATGGGCTCATGGGATGCCAAACTGTACAACCAGTTCTTCTTTGGCGTCGACGCGGATCTGTGAGAGCGCGCTGAAGGCGTAGGCAGCTATCCGGGACACCTGTGGGCATGAGGACATGGCCATGTCACCAGTGGCTCCTGCAACTCCCAGTTATCCTGAGCTGGGGAGGTTAGCACCCAGCCCTAACAAGTCCCTAAACCCACTCTGGGCTATGACCCTGTAAGGGACCTTTATGAAAGGTTTGTTTCGACATTGCTTGGCCTTGATGACTTGTTGTGGGGCAAAGGCATGGTTGATTGCCTCGAAGCTTGCTGAGCCACAGGATGCCTCTGGCCATGGAAATCCTCTAGACCATGAGGCACCACTGTCCACCATTGTCCATGAATGACATCACTTCCAGCTGCCAAGATCATGAGGCTGGGAATTGCTCATCTGTGAGGAAACTGACCAACCAGTGCTCTGACAGGGCCCTGTAAAAATGACCAGCATCCAGAGCATGGTGTGCACACCTACCACCAAAGGAAAGACAACTATGGGTCATCAGAATGCTGCTGGACCAATGGTGGTGATCACCTCCATTTCTACATCACTACGGATCATCAGAATGCTGCGGGATCCATGGTGGTGACTATCTCTGCTTTGGCATACCAGATCTTGCTTACTTCTAACTATCCCCCTTTCCTGTTTCTAGCTTGCCCTTAGCGCTAACAAGTCCTGCCAAGACTCCAGGCAAGCGGAGAAGGCACTGCTGCTCCTCCAGGATGAAGACACGTCCCTGGGGAGCATTGTGGGGGCCCAGGGCTTGCCCCAGTCCTGCTCACCTGCTGCAGGTCTGCAAAGGGGATGGGGTCGCTGGCGAGCACTTGGTGCGGCTGGTTGGTCAGAGATGGCAGCAGTGGTAGCTTCTTCCAGTGCGTCAATTTGTTGCTGAGCATGGCCAGGCGTGTGCTGCGAGGGCAGAGCAGCGAGCATCAGCACCACACCGACACATAGGGAGACCCAGAAGATGGGTGCTGCACCCCCAAGCATCCCCGAGGGGGAGGAAGGGAGAGCGGTGCTGCTGCACTCCCAGCATCTATCCCTCTTTGCTCCCCCACAGCAGGAGGATGAGGGAGCTTCCAGCTCTCCAACACAGGCGCCTTTCAAGCAGGAGCAGTGGCATCCAGCCCTCACCGTCTGCCCCGAGGGCCAAGGAAACACAGGAGCCCTTTGTGCCAGGCTCTGCTGCCGGCAATACCACGGCCCTGCCCCAAGCACTGAGAGGGCGGAGGCGCGGTGCGGGCTGAACCCGCCCCTCCGTGATGGGGCAGCCCTGCTAAGTGCCAAGTTCACTCCCTGCAGGCCGAACCCCCAAGGCCCTGCCCAGGGACGCAGCTGTGAGAGGCTGAGGGAGCAAGGCAGGTCCCACCTGTACTGCCTGGCTCTGTCCATGTACTCGTGCTGCTCCATGCCCTGGGAATCCGCTGCCGACACATCGATGATGTTGCTGCAGAGACACAAGACAGCAGGTCCTGCTGCAGGCTCATCACTGCCCCCGAGTTCTTTGCATTTCAGAGCATCCTCCAACAAGGGCAGTCAAAATCCAGCACCCTCCAGCCAAAACAAGTATCTCCAGGCTAAACTCGCCCCATGGATGCTGCCAGCTGGACACGAGTGTGCCAGGCTGGAGCAGCTGCTTGCTGGGAGGGAAATGCCAGGAGGGAAATGCCAGGGACTGGTTGCCCACAGCTGACCTGGGGCAGAGGCAAGCCGAGGCTGCACAGAGCTGGGGGCTGGCCTGGGCCCTGGGGGCCTCGGCACACAGCCACCCAGGGAAGAAGGCAAGTGTTGGGAGAATTATACCCTTGGCAGACATGCCGAGAGCCCTGCTACAGAGCCTTGGGCTCACAGAGGAGCTGTGGCAGCCCAGGTATGTGCCTCCCACAGCAGAGCAGTGCTTGGGGCTGCTGTGACCCACGTGCTGGACACTCACCAGTGGCCAGCAGCCCCTCCGTGCTGGGCAAGGGACCAGCAGGGCCTACAAGCATCCCAAAGCCCTCTCATCCAGGTTGGATGCAGCCCCCACCCCATATTGCCCCGGTGCAGCCTCCCCAGAAGGGGGAACAGTGCTAGTGCTCCTCAGCTACTCTCTCCACATCCTCATGGACTCACCTGCTCATCCCAATTTGGAGCAGGGAGCTCCCCAACCCCTGCTCCTACTCCCAGACCAGCAGCTGAGGGGTTATCTCACACCTGGGGTCCTGTCTCTGTGTCCCTGTGGGGCTCAAAGCCCAGGAAGGGGGCTATCCATGCAGGGGGCTCTGCCATGGCTTCTCCCTTCCCCTCAGCACCTACAGCTGAGGCACTGAGGACCCCAGGACCTGCAGCCCTTAGCTGTGTCCCAGAGTCACAGCTGGTCGCCGAGGCTTACATGGCCGTTTTGGCAAGGATGGAGGACAGCATGGCCTGCTCATCAGTGCGCGCTGATGGGAGGTTGTGGTAGCTCTGCTCCGCTCCATTCAGCACCTTGTTGGGAGGGCTGGCTGCTGGCTCCAGCAGCCGCTTCGTCTCTTCTTCCTGGGGGAAAGGCAAGAGCAGAGTCAGTCCTGGCTCACCCACAACGGCACCTTTCACCCCAAAGGATGAGGTGAGGCTCATCCCCCGCCTGCCAGGAGGGCTCCCTGCGCATCCCAGTGTAACATGGCACAGCCTTGGCTCTGCCAAAACAATAGCCAGGCTCCTCTGCCCCAGCTGAAGCCTTCCCATCCACAAAGAGAGCATGTGTGGCTGAAACTGGGCAGCGTGCAGCCACACATCTGGAGTAGCCAATCCTGCAGGCAGGAACCCACTGCCAGGACCTATCTGCCCAACACCTTGGAACTAATAAGGGCCTACCATGGCCTTACCCCCTGACAGAGCACCACCACCATCTGGTGCTCATACCAGCACAGCATGGGGCTCATCTGGGCCAGGTGAACCTCATCTGCCACAGCCCAGGGACAGCATGGGGTGGGGGTGCCCAGAGTCAAAGGGCATGTACCCCTCCTGAGCCCAGGGGGTGCAGAGCTGTGGCTCAGGCCTTAATCCTCTGGCTTGGCCAAGTGGTGCCACAAGGGCTGGGAGAAGAGCCTGGCAGGGAGACCATGGCGACAAAAACACAGGAGAGGGGGCAAAAGAATCATAGAAATTGGAAAAGCCCACTGAGACTATCAATTCTAACCATTCCCCCAGCACTGCCAATGCCACCACTAACCATGTCCCCAAGTGCCACATCCACATGGCAGTTAAACCCCTCCAAGGATGTGACTCCATCACTGCCCTGGGCAGCCTGTGCCAGGGATGGACAACACTTTCAGGGAAGGAATTTTCCTAATATCCAACCTAAACCTCCCCTGGCATCTTGTCCTGTCACTTGTTACCAGGGAGCAGAGCCTGACCCCCACCAGGCTGCACCTTCTCTCAGGGAGTTGTAGAGAGCAACAAGGTCCTTCTGACACTCCTTTTCTCCAGGGTGATCCCTTCCCAGCCCCCTCAGCCATTCCTCATCAGACTTGTGCTCCAGACCCTTTCCCAGCTGCATTGCCGTTCTCTGGACGTGCTCCAGCGCCTCAGTGTCTGCCTTGTCCTGGAAGGATGCTCAGCGTGTGACCCAGGGCGAGCTGGGAGCACCACCACTCCTCCACACACTCATCGGTGACACCTCCAGCTCCTCCCCGGCCAGCAGTTCCCTCTCCCCTTCCCCCTGCTGGGGA